GAGGGGGGGTCTACTGTATAAATATTTATGTATTTTAAAATAACTGGAAAGAATACTATGTGTAGGATTACATATAATTTTTGTTTTCTTTTTATGTAACCACTACCCAGATATGGCAGATACATGTGTATTTATGTCTGTATGTGTTTTGTTTTTGTTTTAATGCTGTTGTTTAAGGATGTGGTTCCTTTTAAATAGTCAATTTTCTATTTTTGACGTTATTGAATTTTCCTTTCTGATCCCTGTTGTTGATTGAACCTAAATTCTCTCATGCTAAGCGGTTCTTCCGAGGTACACATTTTAAGAATCACAAATCCAACTCATGCATGAACTAAAGATGATGCATACGCCTGTAATCCTAGAACTCAGTTGCCTTTCCAGTCAGGCTGTAGGATTGAAAACTGTGAAGAAGAAAAAGTCTTAGAGCACCCACCACAACAATTCGTATTTTATGTATTTCTTACAATGACCAAGCAAGATAGTTTGATTTTCTATAACTGCACCAAGCATAATATCTAAGTTTTCTGATCATGTCTGATCTCTGGATTGATGGGGATGAGGGGGAAAGAATGAAATGCCTAATGCTTATGCTACATTGCCTAACTTCGACTTGGGGGAAAAATAGCCTAGGAGTATCATTCTAGAATAAATCTTGAAGTATTTTTGCACTTTGTTAATTCCTAGGGGAAAAAGTGTTTGTATCTCTCTATGGAGCTGCCATAGACATGAATATAAGGCTGGATAAGAATTCCTTGATCATGGAGAAAACCTACATAACTCTGGCCAATCAGCGGACTGTGACCATCCACAACCGCAGCAGCATCATTGCTCATTTCCAGTGGAAGATATTTGCTACCCAGGAAGAAGAGGACAGAGAAAAGCATAGGTTTGTAACAACAATCACATATGCAGTAATTTGAGAGGTGGTGTAAAACCCAGTTATGAAAAAATCAGTGACTTTTTGTAGTAAGTTTGTAACCAACTTAAACAATGTCAAATTTTTATAACTTGGTTCTAGTGTATGATGCTCTTTTGGAGCTGCTCATTTAAAGAATCTGAGCTGAGCTATGGGGAACAGAATGTTGTTCATCCTCAGTTAATCTTAACCTGGTTATAACTTAACAGTGATGGAACTCTTAGATTTTAAAAGACAAATAGATCATTCTTCACTATTTTTTTAGAATGAATCTACATGTCTGTATTTCTTTTAATAACCCTAACCAGGTTGATCAGCTTTCATAAAGAATTTCTAAATATAGTCTCTTTTGGGTTGGCATCAATGTGGAATTTTTTTCCAGTGAAAAGATATTTCCAGAAAAATATGAAGAATGAGGAAAAAGAAGGGCTTAGATATAATGGCTTTGATATTCTTGGTTTTAGTAACCTTGCTCAATCCCTACAAGCCATATAATTTAACAATGATTTCTTATTGCTATCTTTAATATTCTGCTTTTTAAAATGCTGCTTCTGGCAGTGGAGAAAATTAATAAAATGTAAACCAAACTGTTTTAACTTAACTAATCTCATCACTGTTAAATTTTGAATATTTCTTTTTACGGAATCCATCCTTGCTCTTTTAAGCTCCATTTTCATTTTTATCTCCTTCCAACCTCCCTGAATTAACACTTTTGCTGCTTTCATTGGAATTTATTTTAGCCTTTTTTATTTGCCTCACCATTTTCATTAAAGATTAGCCCTGGGAAGCTTCAAAGCTTTGTTTAAAACCAAGTTAGTATGTGATAAAAATAAAAGTCTTAGGTCCATGGAAACCAGGCAGAAAGCCCCCCAGTGTGCTGTCCCTAATTGAATCAGAAGGAGCCATGATAATGACAGGACACAGTGGGCCAGAGGCTTTGTCATTCAGACAATGAGCTTTAATCACTGGATCGCCACTGTGCCATCTTTAAAAAGTGAGAAAAGAAAACTTCCTAAAAACGTCATCTGGTCCCATGGCATAAGAATACCCATGGTTTAAAAGGGCTCGTGCATTGCTTCCTTTGTCCCAATTCCCCAGCTCACACGTGCTCACCAGCAATCAGAATGGCCCAAACATGATTAAAGGTAAAGTGGGAGAGGAGGTACAAACACTGAAGCAGCAGTCAAAGGAGTGTTTCACTATCGCACTTGTCCCACGGACTCAACCTCTTGGGGAGAACGAGTACACGTTACAAAAGGGAAAGCCGGCTTTCATTTCAGCCGTGTCTGTGCGTTTGACTGTGTGGACACTGTGTGACCGAGGCAGTGCCTATATCCAACAGTATGTAAGGAAGTTAATTTCAGCAGATCAGCTCTAGAAAAATTAAAACCAGTTGTTACCAGAGACGCTGTAGAGAATATAATGTCAGCCATAGTGGAAGGACATTTATTTTCTTTTTTTTTTTTCCCCCATATCACCTGTCCCGACACTCACACCCCTATCTCTTTAATATTGTCTTTTAAAACTCTTACCCTTCCTATTCTCTTGCATTGTCTTTCTTTTACTATCTCCCTTGATCTTTCTATTATTTTTTCTGGCAATTTTTTTTGTAACAAGGGCACAACATAGGATGGCATTTTCATAACCATGATTGGCAGCCTAATATTATCATGTAGGATCACAGCCCTCTTTTAAACAATGGACTTGAAAACTGGCTTCACATAAATAAGAATACTTTCATTTTCACTTTGGATGACATACAGCCATGTAACTCCTGTTTCTCCAAACTGGATTGGTTTATCTAAGTAAAGAGTCTATTGAATGTGTGCCCTGCCTTACCTCTCTCCCCTCTCCCGAATGCCAGGAACCCAGGGCAAGGGGGGAAATGGATGCCAGCCATGCGTGATCTCTTACTGGACCAGGGTAGCACTTCTCACCCATCCCTCTCTTGTTCCTTGATGGATTCCCAAGCCTGCCACAAATTCCATGTTGTCAGCCATGGATTCTTGTCCTTAAAGTAACTGCCATGAAGGGCTCATCTTTTTGAAAAGCGTGGCAAGTACAGAGACGTTTGCACTTGGCTGAACATTTAGCTCCTGTCCTTGAATAGGTGGTGCTCTTGCTATGGGTATAGGCCCCTCCTGCTCCACATCACAAATGCTCAGGTTGTGTCCAGGCCACACATCAGTGGCAGATAAAGCAGAATGTTCCTTGACAGCTTGCTTCTGGGTAGAGGTTTGCCCATCCCTGAAAAGCAACAGTGAGATCTTTAGCTAATGGGGTGACTCTTCTCTTCAGCTCCCAGCAAGGCCTGAGTAGGTGTCCCTGGCATTATTCTTTCTATGTTTGACTCTCTTGCTCATGATGGGGAGCAACCTTTTCCTTTTCTCCCATTCCCTCAGCAGCCCCTGTAGTTAAAAAAAAAAAAAAGAAAAAAAGTAGAAAGAATGGTCGACTCTGTTCCTAAGCGTGGAACAGGGAGAACCTATCCTAAATGGGCTGATACGTATTTCTAGAGACCAAGATTTCCCTATCAGCACCCCAAGGACCTAAGATTTAACTTCAGTGTAAACTTTAGGTGAGACTCAAGAGTGTGCCCACAGCTCTCCTGGCAGTTAAACAGGACTTACAGCTTGTCCTGCGGAAGTCATCTCCAGGGGCTGAAAGTTGCTCAAGGGGCACTTTGAGAATGGATATCCTTAAGTCCTGTTCTAGTCACAGTTTCTTGTCCTCTAGAGTCTAGCTGAGCAAAGACTTGGACATCTCTTCTTCCAGTGGAGGGGTTTAAGCCCTAGGGATCCCTTTTCCTTTCTGGCAGCCTGTCATTTCCATTTTAGGAAGGATGGCCTTTCTCTCCACCTACCTCAAACCTTAGGACACATGTCCAGGTTTGGGGACATAGGGCCCTTCCCATGCTCCAGACTTTGGCAATGAAGATGTCTCTCCTCCTAGGAAAAGTTCTGGTCTTAAAACTTTTTTCATTTTGTTTTAACTTTGGAGTCACATATAGGGACTTTTAAAAAATTACCTTTTCACATGCTTTCTCTTTCTTGATGTTTTTCTGGGACTTGCAGAGAAATTAATCTCTTCAGAAATGGGGGACACATTCATCCCTGCCTGCTTCCTCAGCTTTGTCCTGAGGGATTTTAAAACATTCTACAAGATTCTTTCATACTCATTCTCATCACTTATCACATTTACTGTTTTCAGAGACTCAGCATGGGCTTTAAGGATTTCTGTTCCCGTACTTCTCTAGCAAGGGCGCAGCCATTGTCTTAATAGCAGCCGGCTCTAACTCTAGATTTTCTCTGTACAGAACTAGAATTATCACTGAAGCCCCCCAAGGCGGTCAGCATAGATTTATTACACAACATTTACGTGAAGGAAATGACACATTTCTCTAGACAAATCAGTTGTAATTGAGCTTTGAGCTTGCCACCTGGGTCATAATAAATTTAATCTCAGTTATGTTTGGCATCCTCTTCCCTTCCCTAGGGTCATACAAGAATCTGAAGACTTAAGTCGTAACTGGTAGAGAGGCAGAGGACCTCTAGTTCTGCAGTTTGTAACAGTCATCACAGAGTTGATCCTTTTTCAGGCTCATGTGGTTCTTCTGAAGGCAGATGTCTCCCTTCATTCCATGCCGAAGAGTGCACATGTGGGTGTTCCTCCCAGCTCTGAAGGCCATGGCTCTGAATTTTTCATCTCCTTGGCATCCAATTACCACCTCTTGTGGATGCTTCAAGAGAGCAGGATGCAGGTCTTGAGCACCTCAAGATGAGGGATCATTACTGGTACAACCCTACTGCACCTGAGACATAATCTTCCCCCCTGACTATAGTCCATAGGCTGGCCTGTGCTTGGTGCCTGGAGGTGGCAACAGATGGTGTTGGTGGCTACGAGACTACTTGTAAAATGGGTTGAGTCCATGGTTTTATTGAAAGAGAAGACTGGTCTGTTGTTATACACTCTGATGAGAGGTCTCCTCATCTGTAAAACAGAACCACTTCTGAGTGCAAGAAACCAGAACTATCAGAACCATCTCTGAGTGCAAGAAACCAAGACTATCAGTTGGACAGGATAACAAAACAATAGACTGAGATATATGGAAGCCCTTGTTGGAGTCAAGCCAGCTGAAGGTGTTGTTTTTTGTATTCATCTCCTCTTTACACTCTTGGCCATGGCTCCAGTTCTCCATCAGAGGACAAACAGAAAGACACCTGATGCCCCTTCCTCCCCTTTTCCTTACGCTGGCTGTCGCTGATTCAGAGTCTCAGCGGCAGGGGAAAAGAGGAGCACAAGGGAATCTTTGTTCTCTTCTGTTTTCTAGTGTGAAGGTTGAGTGAATGCTTCACTTCACTTATCATCCTTGGTCCACACAAGACATTTTACTTATTCTTTTACATCCCCACATTTTAACTCCTCCAGAGACACCATTCTAATATGTTAATGTGTGTCTTTTTCTGTGAATCTGTTCTTGTAAAATGTGTATTGCTTTGTTGGAGAGAGAGTGCATGAGAGAGCGATAGTATTTTGTGTGTAGTTTTCTCCTTTTTTCCCTAGGCTCTATGTTTAAGATCCACTCATGTTGCTGTGTGTATAATCCATGGCTTCCACCTGCTGCAGAGCGTGCCATGTTGCACACCCGGCGTATTTCCCCTGTGCACTTTCCCAGTGAGGGCATCATGCCAATGTTTGCATGTTGGGCAACCATGGAAAACCCTGTAGTGCTTTAGTCTGAGAACTGATTAACATTTAATTTTAAAAATGGCTTGTTCTCTATCTTAAAAAGAAATACATTGTGAACTAATAAAATTTAGAGAATAAAGACAAATGCAAAAATGAACCTAAAAATCAATTCTAATCCTTCCAACTTGGAGAAAACACTATTAATATTTTGATATCTCTAAATCTTTTCTTTTGTCCCAATAAGTATGTTTTTTCTTTTCTTTTGCTTTTTTTTGTTACAAAATTGGGATTACTTTATGCATTACATTTTATAACCTTCTTTTTGACATTAAAATATTTCAGACATTTGAAAATACTTTTAAATATTTTTAAATACCATTTTAATAGCTGCTTGCTATTCCCTTGATACAGATGCATCCCAGGCGGCAGTGTAGCATAGAGGCTGGCACTAGAGGATTCAAACTGCAAAAGACCCTGTGTGAAGTCCAGGCTCCATCTTTCAGCTGTATGATCTGGGGCAAGTTACTTAACCTTTCTGAGCCTCAGTTTTATCATCTATAACATGGGGATGATGATAGTAATAATAATGACCTCATGGTAGTTATGAATATTAAATTACATGATGCATGTGAAGAGTTTGGCAAGTACCCAATAAATGTAATGTTTATGATTCCCAGTTTTGTTTAACCAAGGGTTCATTATCTTACCTCAAATTTACCCACTTTATCTAGCGATCATTTCAGCATTTTAATGAACATTTTTGCAGCTGTGTCTTTGTTTACATCCATGATTGTTTTTTAGGATTTGTTCCTACAAGTGGGATTTTTTTGTTTCTAAGGGTATATAATTTACGAGTTTTTCAGATGGGTATCAAATAACAAAATATTAAATAAAAAAGAAATGTATTCCTCTCTTTCTGTGGACTGTCTTTAATATGCCCTGCTCTGCCCAGCAGTATGGGAGGACTGCTGCCAGTTACCTTGCATACTGCTTCCTACTTGGCAATAAAGAGCAAGCACAGAATGCTTTCTTCCTTCGAACATACTGAGCCCATTTCTTTGACTTCTTTATGCCGCGTGACCAAAGGACCCTGAGTACACAAGTTATCAAGAAAGAATTATTTGACAATACTGAGTTTATGGTTTGCAGGAAGTCATTTAGAAAATAGTTGGAGCTGGGACAAGGAATGCAGTGACCCTAGGCTCCCACTCAGCACTCACATTGCTAAATAATTTGTCTCTCACCACCAATGATGCCAGTATAATGCTGGGAATGTGGTCGTATGTCCTGGGAGGAGATAAAATTCAGTCTGCAAAGTTCATGAGAAATGTGAACCCAGCCTGATGAGAGCACTGGGGAAGGCTGCTTTTCTCACTTATCAAAATGGATATTAAGAACTAGAAAGAGAGAGAAAAGAAGGCATCTTTAGGTGCAGCTTGAGCATTTTACAAGCTTGACAGTTTGGTGATCGCCTCCAGTTGACTGAGAGAGAAAACTGGTATTTGTGAAGCACCAGCTTTGTCCCAGGGACTGCACCAGGGCCTTGATTACATTTAACCCTCAACAATTCTTTCTGACGGAGGAGCTCCTATTATTTCTAATAGGAGAAGGCACTGAGGCTTACAGGAATTGGGTAACTCTCAAATTCACAGAGCTAGTAAATAGATTGTAGCATCAGTATATAAAACTAGTCCTTGCTGGCTCCAGGTTCTATTGTCTAGGTAACTAAGAGCTAAGAAAGAATTAAAGCTAAGCAAGTTCCAAAGGAACAAAATTGTCCTTGTTGTGGGAGAGGCAGGCTAGATGTTAAATATTTAAAAAGCAGCCTGGAAAATATTTTTCCAGCTATACACAGGGGCTCAGGAGTGAACCAATGGTCATCGAGTGGGAAAGGAATCCAGGGGAGGACCTCTTAAAGGAGGTGACTAAAGATGAGCAAAACAGAGGCTCTGATAGTCAGAGGACTGAGTACAAGGTCACCCAGTTTGTGTGTTATAGACTCAGGGCAAGGAGGGACCACCCAGGGTGATGGGCGAGGACATTTCCAGGTGGAGGGACTGGAGGGACGCACTGTACAAAGTTCCTCATGGAAGTACCAAGGTGAATCTTGCATTTCCCGTGTTTGTTTTCTTTAGGGTCTGTGACGATCTGATCAAAGAAGAAAAGGATGAGATGGATGAGTTTCTTGAAGAGTGCGTTATTGATCCCGTCCTCCGTGACCGTCTTTCCATTCTCTCTCGCACCTTTGAGAATCAGAGGCGGATGGTTCAGGGAGACAGATTGCTCTTCTTGAATAACATTTTCACGATGGAGCCTGTGGTGAGTACATTAATAAAATCTGACCATACGGTCAACATAAGCCAGAGTGCCGGGCCCGTTTTGATGCGAGTACCCACTCCGGAATGAAGGCGGTGCATTCCGAGAGAGTAAAGGATCCATCTCAAGAGCCTCATCATTATTTTGAGACGTAAGATAAAGGTCAATGGTAAGAATGCTCATGGGTCACGTTTATAGGTCACGATTTCTGTGCACCAGTCACTGAATTAAACGCTTCATATGTATTATCCAGCTTATCTCATTTGCATATATATGATCTTACAACAACCCTAAAGATATAATTAGAACCCCATTCTACAGATGAGGGAATTAAGAAAAATTTCGTAACATGCTCAAGGCCAAACAGCTAGTGTTAGTAGTTAGAAATTCATCCCCGAGTAGCCTGACTAAAGAGCATGATTTCTCAACCCCAGCACTATTGCCATTTGAGGCCAGACAGTTCCTTATCCTGTACATTGTGGGATGTTTAATAGCATCCCGACTTTTACCCACCAGCTGCTAGTGTGACAGGCAGACTGTCTCTATAAACTGCCAGATATCTCCTGGTGGGCAAAATCACCTCAGTTGAAAACTGCTTTGTCCTTACTTTGCTCGATGAATGCTGATTGACTGCCTGGTCTGTACCAGACACTGTGAGTACCAGGCGTTGAGGAACAAAACGGCCATGGTCTTTGAGCTCATGGTCTGTCGAGTGAGGGATTAGAATGCACCAGAATTAGAATGGGGTCTGTCTGATTCCACAGACTAAACTCCTAGCCGCTCTGCCCTACTGCCTCAAAAGGAAAGTAGCCAGCAGCTTTTACATCTGCCACCTGCCAGGCACCGAGCGATGTCCTTTCTGTGCGCTCCCTCACGCTTAGCATAGAGTGATGGGAGGAGAAAAACAGCGATAGGAGTCAGGAAAGCCCACAGCTAGTTAGAGCTGCCGAGCTGTGGCCATGTAAACCAGCTAGAGAAAGGACATGGGCACAGGGCACATTAGGATACCAGATCACTTGTGGGAAATGCCACCGACTTTCGCAGACTGTTTTCCAAATGGTTACTCAAAGATATAATGTGGAAAAGAGGTTCCAAGGCTAAGTAAATTTGAGAAACACTAAGTTCAATATTGTTTGGAAGGTTTCTTTGCTGTAAGACTTCAGAAAGTCTTTAACATGCTAATGTGTGTTGTCAATCTCCAAGAAGGAGCTCTCCTCTTGGAGACACCCTCTGGGACTGTTTAGTGGGGGCTGCTATGCGATTCACTGGAGAAGACAGTAAGTTGACCAGTTCAGAGGCTGGGGTGAGTTTCACGGGCTACAGAGTTAGAGAAAGCTTCTCAAGAGGAGAATCTCAGGCTACGTCTTGTAGGACAGGACTTTTGGAGAATGAAACTGTGGGTGTGCATGGCATGGTCCATCCAAGGCTCCGTGAATAGACCAGTTTGCTCAAAGTAAAGGCTCATGTAGGAAAATAACGCTGGAGTTGTAGGTTGAGGCTGAATCCTCTGTCACGGCAGAAGGCTATCCAGGGCATAAGTGAGCAAAGGGATCTCCAGGGTTAGACTAGGAAGAGGTTAAATCAAGATGAGGACCAAAAGTGAAAAGAGGTCAAGCCTAGAGATACTGAAGAGGTGGAAGGACTTACTGGTGCAAGCGAGCAAGTGGCTGAGCTGGGCGGAGGCAGGGAGGAGCAGTCAGTCGTGGTCGTCTTAGACACACTGCTGCGGTCCACACAGTCCAGGACCCTTCCCAGCTGGTACTGGAGATCCAGGCTGATGATGGCCACTCCTGCAGGGGAGAGGGGCTGGATCACAGATATGGTGGCCAGGAGGAGACAGGTGGGAGACCTACAGGTGAGCCCTGCTCATTTCTAATTTAGAAGGAAAAAGATGAGAATTGTGTCAGATTTTCTTCTCCTCATGCTTCCTTCCATAACCCAAAGCTTCAGGATGGAGATATATGTGTGTTAAAATATGACCTTTCATGTGATTGTTTTTGAATTCCAGACGGAAAAAGAATTGGGCATTCTTATCACATAGCATCTTTCACCATTAGGAAGAAAAACATTTTGGTAATACATAGAAATGGTACAGAAATGGTACTTTTAAAATAAATGAGACTACTTTTTTTTTATATTATGTAGAAAAAAATGCCAGAAATAGAAAGGGAGTAATATTCACTTATAAAATAAGTGGTCTTTATGAAATCTATCATGATTTTGCCTTTTCCATACACTATTCAGTTTTTCTTCTCATGATATTATTGTTTGTTAGCTAATTCTTGACTATTTTTGCAAGATGAAAATGAAGGCATGAAACTTTCTAAAGTTATTCTAGTCAAAACAGAACTCAGATTCAGTTATAGTGAATTATTTATTGATGTTAAATCTCCTTTTTTCTACTTAAAAACTATGCTTTCTGATAGTTTTATATAAATACAGTTCTTGTTTGTGAGTGTAATATAATCTTCCCTTATAAATTACTTTCGAAGGTATACAATGGGAAAATTCCGCCATTTCACTAGCTTCTCGACACAAACATGAACCGTGGGTATTTTTTACTGTTGAGACTTTGGTTTTCTGATACAGGTAAATAAATGCTAGTAGTCTCAGATGAGAGAGTTGGGAAAAGATTTATAGGAAAGATGAGATCTGAATTCAATATCCAAAGGAAGGTTAAGATTTAATTAAGTGGAAAAGGAGAAAGAGAATGTTTCCAACTGGGGAAATTACAAAAACAAAGAAAAAGGAAACTGTTAGTTTCATGGCACCTTAAATAATGATGAATAGACTGTTTCTGGTTGGGAAGGAGAGTAGAGGAAACCTGGGCTACCTGATCAACCTGCTGTGCTGTAGCCTGCAGGCTACTGTCGCCCACCATGCTTTTCCAGAAACACTGGATCTGAGAGCGGGTAATGTGTGTCCCTGGCAAAAAGGGAGTTTGGGGCAATACTGGTTCAAGAGAAGGTGAGTCTCCAAGTGCTAGAGTGTAAGCAGCACTTCCCTGTGACCACAGAGCCCTCTCCACAGAGCAACCCCCGGAGTCAGTGTTCTTTGGAACCCAGTTTGGCAAATGGTGCTGTGGCTGTCTGAGGTTCACTTCAGGGTTTGCAGCAGGAGCATGATGTGTTCATGGGGCTTAGACAGACTGCCCTGGGAGCCACGTGTAGGTTGAACTGGAGGAGGGTGAACAGAGGGTGAGATGGGTGGGCAGGTCTAGCAGGGGAGACAGTGCATCTCTGCAGGCAAGACAGGGTGATCATGAGGGTGACGCTGACCTGGAACCGCCCAGTGGTGGTTGGAAAGGAAAGGAAATGGCAGGTGTGAGAGGTATTCGAAAGGAAGACACTGAAGTGCTTTTTGATTGACTGGCCATTGATGGAGAGACACTGTGAGAAATCAGGTGTCTCCTCAAAGCTGAACTGGAGAGATGGGGATGTCATTACTGATATGACATCTGTGATAAAAACTAGCAAGTCAGGATTCCTGAAGTCCTGGCTTTGCCAATAGCAAATGTGACCTTCAGCCATTCGATCTCCCTTGTCTTCAGTTGCCTTGTGCACAAACTAAGGAGATTGCAGGTAGGTCACTTATCCTATTCAGCTCATGCATTCAGACTCTCCGATTTCAGATTGGACTCAGCTCCTTAAGGTCAAGGAGTGCCGTAAGTGCCTAGCCCAGTGCCAATAAATGGACATATGAGTGAATGAATGTAAATCAACTAATGACAGTGAGTTCAGCTCTGAACATGTTGAATTTGAGATGACTATGGATATTCAAAAGTTTTGGAAATGCAGGATAAAATGTGGATGGGGATTCAGGACTGGAGGCAAGATTAGTGAGTGCCCTGTAGAGGTCTTCACTGAAGCCAGGAGAAGCAGATGGAAACTCTAAGAGCACAGCAAAACAGGAAAATTGCAGAGGGCTCAAGACATCCTTCAGGTGCTCACCTTTAGAGGTCCTTCAGATGGAGTAGAGGCCACGACTTCACAGAGAAGGTGCCAAGAGGAGAGCCCTCCAGCCGAGAGCCAGTCAGGGCGTGCGTCCCCTTGCGAACCTACTGCGCCTGGCTCAGCAGCACCGTCTACTGAAGGTCTCTTCCGAGCCTTGCTCACTATCGGGTCACTTATGCTAAGTGGCCACTGCTTACTTTTTGACAGTTGAGCTGTGCATCAGTGATTAGTTTTTTCTTAGGGCGTGACTCCTTTTAATTAGCTTCTTGATCTGACTTGAGTTCACAGTAGAAGCAGAGAAGATTAGAACCAAGCAGTGTCATCTCCTGATTTAATAATCACTCTCTAATTGATACCCTGCTCAAAGAATAAAAATAAAAGAGCAGTGAAGAGGCTTAGAGACCACCTTGCTTTCTGATGGATTCTTTAGCGTCTGTCTGCTGAGGAAGGACATTGCTTTCAAATGAGATAAACTTAAAAAGAAAAAACGAAAAACCAAAATCTTAAATTCTGAAAAGAAATAAGAAATATATGCTGATTTTCTCAGACCTGTGTCTGTATATCTTGCTTCTTCAAATGCATCAGGCAAAACAGAGGATTAGTTTAGCTCCGATTGTGCTCTCTGCATATTAAGTATTTCAGAGGAACATCATTCCTGTTAGAGAGGCTCTTTCAATTTAAAACAAGGAGATTCAAGATCAAAAGATCAATTGCTGTCCCTAAGTTGCCCAGAGGTGGTGATGGGTTTGAATTTAAATCAAATTTTGTTAATATTATCATGTGAGAAGCGGTTTGATTCAATGCTACAAGAATGACAGACCCAAACTCTGGAACTGCAAGTTCCTACTCGGTCCTGCCACGTGGCTGCAGGTTCCTTGCCTTAATTCACCCACTTCTCATCATGCTCATCGCATAACAGGCTGTGGGGTCTGCTGCTCAAACCTTGAGGGGCTAGGCGTGGGCGTCTCGGGGACCGATGTGGCCGCAGAGTGTCAGTCCTACTTGTTTCCCTTTCTTTCCTGTGATCCACACAGAGGGAAGCTGGTAGTT